AAAAGGAAGGAAGGCAGGGAGCAAGGGAAGGAGGAAGGAAAGAAGGAAGGAGGGAACCTTCCAATGTCCTAATTCAATCCATATATTTGTGCAACAAGAATTTTCCTTGAGAAAGAAGGTGATTCCTTCTTTGCTTATATTTTGAACACACTAAAAAATATTCTGGTTTCCATCACCTGAGTCAGAATCCTGGACTATTGAAACTGTATGTAAGTTAATGGAAGAGCAAAACTTCGACTGGGTTATTTCCCATGCTGTTTGATTAACCTCACTGAAATTACAAGTGAATAACAAACTGCCAAATGAACCAGAATGTATCGCTTATACTTACTTATTAACTAATCCATTAAGAGGCCCGCATTCAGACAACACAGTGCACATCTGCATCATACAACATACTCATTAGGTAGCGAAGGAATTGATCATGGAAAGGACAGACAGTGAGACTAAGACTTCATCCATAAAGGTCATTTTGCTTTCTAAATGCATGCTGAAGGAAACCTCTGAGAAAAGCTCCCAATTCTATAGAAGAGCCATATGCTTAACAATCAGACTAGGACTAGCTTTGAATCTTTGCCTTTCATAGATAATCCTATATAGAGGTTGCAAATCAGAGCTCCCCAAAAATGGACAGATAGTTTACCATGGGGTTATTATTTGAGAAATGTTATTTTTTAAATGACCCTCTCCATACTACCATGACAATGCTCACCCACTTATTCATCCGTCACTTCTGCTGAACACAGGGCCATGCACCATGCCACCTGGCAGTTAACCCTTACCTCTTCCTGAAAATAAGTTCTCTGACTACATCTTCAGAGCCACACTCCGGTGAGGGAGGGAGCCAAGGTTAGGTTAGGAATTACTGCACGAAAGAAAGCTGCATTCCAAATCAAGGTCTTCTAGCTGGCTTGTAAATGACCGGGAGGCAATTAAAAGCTATGCATGTAATCACGTATAGGTGCTTTTTCCTCTAAAATGTAGTAGCCAGGGAAAAAAGTCAATCAACTGGCCAAAAGCAGGGAGCAGCGCAGTATCAACTTGGAGGCTGACAGTTTTCACGAGGTGAAAGAGTGTGCGCAGGTAACTTTTCTCTTGACTCAGAAGTCGAGGGCACCTGTTCACCTGCGTGTGCTTATCACGGCAACGAGTTCCAACTAAAAGTTTCCAACTGAGCGGAGTAAATGCCTGGGTAATAAATATTTAATCAGCATGGTCAGATTTTAAGTTATTTTAATACCAATAATGTCAGAGATAATCTTGTATTCTCCTAGTAGTATTTTGGAGGCAAAATAACTCTAGATGTATTTCTTTTCTTCCAGGAGGAAAAAAATATATAAAAGTTTTAGAATGGGAACAAATATATTTCTTTAGTCCATATGACCATAAATAAATGTGGTGGTTATATGGAGTTTTCTAGGAGAAGGTCTACATTCTGGAATGGTCAATTAACAGCATTTAGGAAACAGGCTGTCTGTTATCTATACCCATTTTCAGATGATACAATAAGCTTAATTTGCTTCACACCAATACCTTCAACACAACTGCTTTTCCCTTCCTAGATATTACCAGACTGTTTTGCTTTTTAATTAAGTCTCTATGATAAAGAAATTAGAACATGTAACAAACAGTTTAGTCATAAAATTATGGTATTACAAGCATAGAATATACTATTATTGATGAACTATCAGAAAATGGCTGATTTACATTGAGGAGAGACTAATCTTGAAGTTTAAGATAAATCTTTTCAATTTTGTCCTCATAGGAGTACCAGGAAAGTAGAGGATATTCTCAAATGACAAGCTGTAAGTCACAATGTCTCCTTATTTACTGTCAGATAAATGTACAAAGTCACTGGCTTCTTGAGAGAAATTTAGGAGAGTTCACTCAGGCACTCTAGTGACGCTGTTACAAACATTTACACCATGTTCCCATCTGTATTTCCGCTAAATGGCAAAACCTCCAAGACAATTCCGATGAATTATCCTTTTGAACATATTTTGCCTGTTCAAATGCTACCTGGGAATCATGTCTTTTAGCAACTGTAATCAGTTGAGGCTGAGATGCCAGGAAGTGAAAAATGAAGAATTTCAAGCTTTTTACTTTTTAAAAGCAATTACATTTGTTCTACTCTCGGAACATGTATTAACAGACAACGAAACTGTTACTACTTCTTCACTATGTAACAGTGATTTATTAGTCTTAAAGCCTACGTTCATACCTACAGGTAAAAATACAGACACACACGTAAAAATACAGACACACACGTACTAACCTACACCCAGATTTGGATGGTGCTACCGAAGTTTGGAAGCATTCCTCCTTTCAAATAGACTACAGGTTGGAAAGGAGACCAGGTGAACAATACTCTTATCAATCAAATGAACACAACACATCACAAAAACTTCTGCACTACATCAGCCCTAGGCAACTTATATATTCCCCTACACCAAAGTTCTCTACTTCTGAAAGAAATTTACAAGTCTCCTCTTTAGATTTCCGAAGAAGCTGTCACTGATGGCAGGTGAGCAAATAGAATAAAAATCAACAGTCAATAAGAATCAACTTCTTATTCAGGAAAAGTCGCAAACAGTTACAAAGGCAAAAGGCATTGCTCACACATGCATAGATGTATGCAGTAGCATACATCCATAGAGAGGTCCTTTGGAGAATGGTAATATTCAACACTGCGTATGCATAATATGGAAGATGACAGTGGCTGCAGAAACGCTCGTGCATGAATTTATTGTAAACAAACAGTAATAATTTACTGAGGGTTTTTATATGTATTATCAGCTACAACCAAAGAAGGAAATTACAAAGAAATTACACAGTATGTCATTTTTCAAAATTATTTTAGCGACTGGTATTTGCAAATATGCTGTCTATATTAACAGCCCTATTGATTATCATTTGCTTATTTAATTAGCCATTAAAGAAAGCATGCCTCTGGATGACTAAACATGAAATTCTCACCAAGAAGAGGAAAACTGAAAAAAAAAAAAAAGGAAACAATGTTGAGAGATATTAGCATCAGAATAGGAAAGGGAAAAGTTTTAGCTTAAAAAGAGATAATTGAAAAAATACAAATAAAGTTGCCAGCAGGAAGCTTGGCTATATAGAGAAACTGGCTACAGCTGTTAATATGTAACTACCTTTTTATAAGCACAGTCTGTTAACAGGCTTAGAAATCAAGAGTTTTATTTGCAAAAAGAAAAAAAATAAAAAATAAACCCAACGTATAATTTAGAATTAAGGAAAATCATCCTGTAAGTATAACTGTACAGGCTAGAAAACTTACTGTGCTAAATTAACATGCTGTTACATTAATCAATAGTGCGTTCCATTATGGGCCACTTCTAGGCACAAGGAAATGGGACTAGGTTTGCAAATAAATGCTAATTGAAAGAGTTAATACATAAAACTTTGGAAATGAATTCAAAACTTGTCCAAGACAACCCAACCATTCTGTGAAATTATCTAGCAAAGATGCATCTTCTTAATTTAAAATTAAAAGGTGGGGGGGGAGTGAAAGAAAGACAGTATCTAAGTATGCACATTGGCAGTTTTACTCTCTTCCTTGATCTGAATCTCGTATCTATCCTATGTGACCATGTCCAAATGGAGATTTTATTTTCAATCCTCTTTCTCTACTATTGCTTCACTTCTAGATTGTTTTAATCTTTGTCCTTTCTTTTTTCGTCTTTTCATATCAAATTCAGTCGTTTGAGCGATGAACAGCTTGACTTAGCATATTTTTAACCAGCTGGTCTAGCACCTAGCTTTCATTGCATAGTCAGATACAACAAATGTTTATACAGAAGGTAGCTTTCATGAAAATGGAAAAAAAAAGAGCCTGGGTATCATGCATCCTGGCTTTTTTTAGCTTTAAATTAAAAAAAAAAAATTTCACCATACAGAATACAAAGTTTGAATTCTTTTTAATGGCAAACAAAAATCTATTTATAGTGCATAAAATGAACTTTTGCTGGGAGAAGAACTCAGATTTAAAAATTGCAATGTGTACTTATAGGACAAGAGCAAGGCAAAAAAAAAAAAATATCTTTACGAAGCCCTGTTTTACATGCAGCATCAAACGGAAAGGTATTGCTTGTATTTCTCTAAATAGGAACAACTTAACTACAAATACACTTATATGCATCCATAGCAAAGGGGGAAAATGTAGTCCAGCAAAATTCAGTTCAGACAGTGCAGAAATGAATCACTAAAACTTATAAAGAGGGCAGACGATTTCCTTTTCTTCTCGGTCCTCTCCCCCCCCCCTTTTTTTGGCACTTCAAGAGTAAATACTAAGATGGAACTGTGATGTTAAATTATCTTTGAGGGGGGAAAAGAAGACTTTCTCTCTCATATCAACAAAAGGTCATGTGCTTTTTCTGAGGAGCTTCAAAGTTTTACCAAAGGATTAGATAGGAACTTATAAGACTCTGTTTTTAACCACCAGCAAAAAGGAAAAAAAAAAAAAACCTTCTGTCACTCCAGAAATTATATGCAAAGAGATTCTGAACAGGAAACAATGCACAAAAGCATTTTTAAAAGGTACAGAGTAGGGAGGGTGAAGGGTTTGTGTGTGGGGAGGGGTGGGGGAGAGCCATCAGTGAAGGCAGGGAAAGTGAGAGCGAATGAGCCAGAGTCGGTGAAGAAGAGAGAAAGATGCCTCTCGTTCATTGAATTTCTTGTTATGGGACTACCACTTACAGAAAAGAAAGACAGAGAGAAAGAGAGCTTCACAGAGATCTAGGAGACTTTGAAAAATCAGTCCCATCTAATCAATTCGACCACCACCACCACCACAAGGAAAAAAAAATCCGCTCACAAGGTTGCAGAAGAGCTTCCTAGCAGCTCCTCTGATCACACACACACACACACATTTTAAAGAGCATCTCGCAGTTCATGCAGACTTGCCTGGAAAACCGGGAGAGTTTGTACTTCAATCCTATTAAGAGGATTAAAAACAAAACCAAAAGAACTGTACTCACCTTTCAAACTCCTGAGGTAAATCAGGGTCAGTGAGCATGCTTCAAATGCACAATTCCCTTTGTCACTGCAACCACCTAGGATCGCTCCAACTGAACCTGTCAAGTGAGCCCAAACCTTCCAAACCAATTGATTCTCCCTCCCCTCTCCTCCCTCCCCCTCTCTCTCTCTCCCTCTCCCTCTCTCCCCCACTTCCCCTCCTCACTCTCCTCTCTCTCTCTCTCTCCCTCTCTCTCTCTCTCTCTCTCTCTCCCTCTCTCTCTCCCTCTCCTAGGACTCTTTGGCCAGTCTCTTAAAGGGGTAGTGCACTTCCAGCAGGGTCTGCTTACTCAGAGCGAGCAAGAGAGCTCGCTCTGGACTGACTGCTAAGCATTAGACAACCTCAGGCTGCCTGTCCTTTCCTTTTAATTCTCTTCTAGACATCGCCGAATGTGAGAAAGTCAAGTCATTTAACACGTATCCCAGACTCTCTCTGTGTCTGTCTAAATAATAAAAGTCCTACACACACACACGCGCGCACACACACACACACACACACACACACACACACATACACACACACACACACACACGCACAGCAGAATGATTTCATAAAATACGGTCGCTGGTATTTTTTTTTTCCCAGGGAATCTTTGTAATCGTAGATTCCCTGATCCAATTGCATCCATGAGCTAATTAAGCAAAAAATAAATAAAATAAAATAGGTTTAGCAATCACATTTGTACACAAAGAATTGCTACTCCTCACCCCTTTCTAGTCTCTCTCTCTCTCTCTCCAAGCGCACACGGAAACGCACACACAGACACACACACACACACACACACACACACTCACTCACTCACACACAACAATCAGGCATTGTTCTAAGGGAAGAAAAGCAACTTTGACAGATTGAAATATAGCAGGGACCCCTTCAAGGAAACCTGTAAACAACTTGTCACTCACTCTGTCGGGCCGGCTCCCTGTTAGCTCCAGTTTTTCCACAAAGTGCTGCTGAAGTCCTGGCAACCCAAGGAAAGTTTCTTCTGCTCCAAACTCCATAAAACAGCGATGTGCGAGGTGGAAGGGGATAGGTAAACACATGCCAACAGAGCACCAACGGACCGGATGAAAGATGCCAAAACCCCAAATAAATGTAGAAAAGGAAACAACAAAAAATCACCCCCGGATGATGGGACTGGCAAGTGTCTGGGGTGGGGTGGGGGAGGGTGGGCAGGGGCTGATCAAGGGGTCTGAAATGCCCCCCACCCTTTAATTCCCTCTGTCCAGGCGGCCACCAATAGCAAGGTAGACAAACTGAAGCTTTACAGATCCCCAGCAGCCTGGCAGGGTACAACCTCCATAGCCGTTCCAATTATCTAGATAAAAATCTGGCAGGCGAGGAAGGTAATCAGGTAATGTACTTTTGACATGAAGTGACAAAGCCATGCACGCACTCACACACACACACACACACACACGCATGCACGCGCGCCCGGACTCTTACACAGACACCCGTGCAGAGACGAAGGCTGTCCTGTGCATGCAACATCTAACCAGGAACAAACACACACTCACCAACACGAGAGAGTGTGAATTCTTCACACACACTCAGCCACACACACTCACACACACACGCTCCACTCCTACTAGGAGGGTTCATTCTTGCACAAAAGGCTACATTACAGAGCCTGCCCCAATAAGGGAAAAGAGAGAGAGAGGGGGGAAAAAAAGCCTTCCATTGTTGAGAGGGCAGGTCAGTTGATTAGATTTTCTGTGGAGAATTCCACGAGGAAATTCCCTTCAAAGCCAAAGTGATTAACTGTGGGCTATTCTGGAAATGGAGCAGACAATGGTTCAACAGTCTGCAAAACCAATGACCAGGCTTGCCACTGAACTCACTTTAAAAAAAAAAATAAAATAAAATAAAAGCCAGATTCCTTGTTCTTTTCCATACTCCCCCCCCACTAAGACCAGCCCCCCCCCTTCCCGGCCTCCAACTTCCCCTCCCAATTTCTTTCATTTTGCAGCTGGGCAACATTAAGGGCCTTTAAAACCACAAAGGTTGACCCCAACACAGTTTGATTAACTCCCAGCTTCCCCCCACCCCACCCTGGCGACAGGCAGACAGTAAGTTTGCTTTCCGAGACCCACATAATGACACATTGTACACATACTCTAAAGAGAAAAAGAAAATTGTTATTAGTCTCATACTACTAAATTTTCCTTCTAAGCTTATATACATTCTTAGACAGAAGTTGAAAATAACAAAGAGATTCAGATCCATCCTGTATGAGATACCTTTTTGGAAAAAAAAAAACCTAGGCATCCATACTAAAAACTTCATATGTAATAAGATGGAAGCTTGTCACTATGGAGTTAAGACATTAACAAAACATTGAATTATGATCCACCCTGAAAAATACTGTTAACAAGGGCTGTGGCAAAAAAAAAAAATGACTTTATGCTGGTTCACTCTCATTCCCAGCAATTGAGGAAGGGGAAAGGATATTACTCACTACTTTCTCCTGTCATCAGTCTCAAATTATTTTTTATTACATCAACAACCATTTCTACATATAAAAAATGAAGAAAGCGGTTGTATTTATTTTAAATATTTAGCTTTGGACCTTTAAGGGACTTACTATTAGACATCAGCTAAATATATACACATATGTATATGCACACAAGTGTGTGTGCTAACTACATATGCATACATATGTACAGATCCAATTATATATGTATTCGTATACAAATATTCTTCTGTTGCTAATGGTAGTTTCAGGAATTAGGTTAAGGTAGCTAAAGAGCTCCACGTGCTTTTAAGAAATTGGAATATTTTTTTCCGTCAAAGGAATCTTGACTTTTCTTGTGTCAAGAGAGACAGATGAAGAAGGAGGAAGGCTGAATTCTCCCAGGGAGCCCTGGGAGTTGGAGTCAGGAAGAGGAGGAGGTAGGGAGAGGGAGCAAGCCAAGAGCTCACTAGAAGGAGACACGGCGTAAAGATAGAAACAAAGATAATGGCCATAAGGCAGGATGCTGAGATGCGTATGGTCGCAGCTGCTGCTGTCTTCCTCCACCGACACCTCTCGTTGTTTCTCAGAAATAGCGAGCCCAGAAGGTCATCTGTGCAGGTAAGAAACCTGCATGCATATTTGAGACCAAAGATGATGTGAAAAGATGCTGATGCCTGGATCTTCCCTAGCTTCGCTTCTGCCTTACTATAGTTGCACGGAGGCAGACAAGTGTCCAATGAGCATAAAGAGCACACAGAGAGATGAGAAATGGCTTCAAAGTTAGTTTGACATCTCAGCGTGTCCCCCTCAAAAACCAGATCATTGTGTGACATCACCTGTAATACGCAATGAGATAGACTGGGAACTAAATAGAAAGACTTGGCCCCTGTAAAGATGGCCATCCATGGAATGATCATTTTCAACAAATGGAACTCGATGATCCTAAGAAACATGCTTATTTACAGACTTCAGTCCCTAGGTCTTAAACAGTTCGGAAAAGACTAGATATGCACACCTGGAACTTTCCCAAAGTTCAACCCTGAGCCAATCTTTAAAGTCATACCTGCTTACTAGCTCATTTGTGGCCTGAAATAAATCGCACACGACCGTTCATTTGTTCAGACAAAATACAGAATAAGCTTATCTTTGAGAATTTAGAGTAAGTGTCAAGATGGTGGGAAGGTTTCTTATGGGACTCAGAAGGCTTACAGAGAGTTGTGATTAAAAATTAAATGTTCTTAAATCTCAGTGCTAAGGCTATATGTAGATGGTTGAAGAGAATGCAATTCCCAAATGTTTGGCTGAATTTTGCTTTCATCTGAATTCTATAATATGAATTTCTGCCAGAGTTAAGAGGCTAAATCAAAGGAAAGTTACACCCAAAATGTCTTGTCAAATCCAGGCACTGGACTAATCAATATAATATTTAATACTAAATAATACATTTACAAGTTATCAACTTGTAAGCTAAATATTCCAATGTTGCACTATTTCATGTTTAGCAAATTTGTTCTGTTTAAGAGGTAAGAAAAGCTTTATAAGAGCTTTATAACTGGTTATATATGTATATATATATATAAGTTTTATGATAAAGGCTTTATAACTGGTTATACACCAAGTAGTCTCTATATCAGAGCCAACAACCCAGTGTATGTTATAATATCCTAAATAGGGAGATAGGAACTGTAGCTTTCAGATAACATCTGTATCTAATATTAAACGTTTATCAAAGCTATGTGCATATGACCATATAAGCTGATACTAAGCGAAATGAACCCCAAGATAGGGACACAAGAGATTTTATCTTTCTTGCCGTTCTTTTTAATGTACATATGATGTACTATGACATTTTTTTTGTTTCTTTGTATGTTCTTCCCCCATGGTGTAACCCCTGTTTTCACTGTATTTGATTCCGGTGCTCTGCATCTTGTATCTACATTTTTCTAATTTGGGGAGGGGAAGGGAAATAACAAAATGTTGAAATAGGATACAGGTTGACCCACTGTAACAATGACATGTACAAGACACTATGTTGCCAATGAACTTTACAACTTTGGTGGGGGGAGGGAGGAGTTGGGAAGGTGGGGAAGAAAGGGATGGTAGGGGAAAAACAAAGGAGGGGGTAACAATGCTCCATAGGAAATGTCCTCATTACTTTGGTCATGTAACTGTAACCCCCTCTGTACAGTATCTTTACAATAAAAAATATATTTCAAAGTTTACCAATATAACAAATGGTCATAAAAAATTAAAGCACTATTTCTAAGAAGTCTAATTATTATTAATAACAGTTTTTATGGAAAAAATTCCAAATTAAGTATTTAGTATCTGAGCCTTCTAAGATGAATATGGTAAGAAAAGTGAAAAACAAAATAAATATGGAAATGAATGAGAACTGGATTGAGTAATACTTAAGATGGAAAGCATTATAAGTAAGATCTACAAATACAGGCACAGAAGTACAGATATGTATTCTAAGGTGACCAAGTGCACAAAAGAAAATAGAAACTCTAGAAGATGATTTTCTGTGTAATGAGACTCTTTGACATTGCTGAAGCAGTATTATGGAAAATGGAA